GGGACATTTTTTGGGACATGGACAATGGACAGCGGACACGGACATAGTTGTCCAAGCAAAATGCTGTGGACAGTGTTCATGTACAACACTGCTTTAAGGTAATGTCATTGTAGTTGAATAGAAAATTTAATAAAAAGTAAAAAAGGTTTGGGAAGACGTTGGGTACAGGGTCAGGTGCGTTAATTAGGTAGAATCAGGGTGGAAGTACTGGGTGCATAGATGTTGTTTTTTCTGCAATAGGTATATCAAGGATCAAGATTATTCAATAGGGTCAGCACATTTCTGTATAATAAGTTTGGGTAAGCAGTCATCTCAATTCTTTTGGAGTATCCGTTAGGATGACCTGAAACCAGTCTTGGTAGGGAAGTAGTAGAGGTAGAAGTAGGTTTAATTTCTTTCTTGTATCTTTTAGTTATAGTATTAGATAGTTTTCCTTTCTTTCTAGAGGTTGGTACTAGTAGCCGGCTTCTTTAATTCCTTTTACAAAAGTGTAGGAGACTTTTATAATATATCATACTAGTTAGAAGACCCAATGTTTTGTGGGGAGATATGGGAGGACTGATTGAAAGGTTTTTTATTTGGTGCTAGCACTGGGATGTGAAGGAGAATCAGAGTATACTAATATCTAAGGAGGTCTTGCTTTCAGTCCTTACTCTAAGGACTCATGCTACATAAGTGCGACGCGTTGGGATTTTTCTTTTGGATGGAGGTCTTATTTCTGTTCTTTATAATTTTATTTGTTATTGTATACTGGGCATTGTCTATCGATATACAGAATAAAGTTCATGATACAGCGCGTCTTCAAAAAAAAAAATACAATAATGAATTTAATACAATTTAAAAACCAGTTTTTCATTAAGTATATTAATTCTACAATGAATGGTAGATCGGCCAGATAATTTGGTGGTTATTAAATAATCCACCAAAATTACTAGCTTATCTGAAATAAGCATTAAAATTTTCTTAATAAATGTAGTTTTATTATTAATAAATTTTAAAAAATAATTTTTAATTTATAATATTTTTTATGATGGATCAGGCAGATAATTTTATAGTTATTAGATGATCTACCAGCTGATATACTATTTCAGTATTTTTTATATTATTTTTTTTTTATTAATAGTATTATATAAAACAAAAAGAACTGAAAAATTAGTTCTTTATAAATTAAAAAAATCGTTTTTTTAAGATATTAAGAATTAATATGAATTAATATTTTTATTTAAAGTTGATAAATATAAACTGGATACACAGAAAATTGATTTCAACCGGTTAACCAGTTTGAAAAGGTTCAAACCAGTTGCACCCATTTTAAATTTAGGTTTCAAATATGCAACTGGTTCCAAACTTTAGTAGAATCCATGTGCAAAATGATTTTATATTGGAAACCTAATTCAAAAACTGAACTTGGATTTTATGGAATTGATTCAAAAAATAATATTCATCTTAATGATGATGAGATTAATATATGTATTGCAAAGGCTTTTGCAAAAGTAGATGATGAGAAAAGTAATGATGACTAATAAACAACCTTCTATATACATACCCCTACACTAAATTACCAGATTTTTTTTTTATATAAAATTTATTGTAAAATTTGTATTATTTTAAGATGGGAATTGCTAAACATCGCCTGGGTAATCATCGCCTGGACGATCATCACCTGGATTTTTTTTCAAATATGTCACATAATAGAGCGTTCTTCTTATCCTTCAGGATGGAAAAAATAGACCCCCAGGGTCTAGGCAAATTAAACTAGACCTCCAACTTTTTTTTTAAA